CCCTTCAAATACTAAAACGCAGCAAAAACGTGTCTTCCTTGAGGCTTCTTTTCTCCCTCTGCAGCAGACGCAGTCCTTTCCACCACTCCTCGTGTGTAGGACCTCAAAGACCTTTCACTGTTCTAGTCAGTCGTCCCTTGGGCTGCCTCCAGATGTTCAATGTCTTTCCAACAAGTGTGGCACCCAGAACTGAACACAGACAAGAAAAATGATCAAGTCTGGGCAGAGTAAAGAAGCAGTACTACCTCCCTTGCCCAGGACACTGGGCCTCTCAATGGAGTCAGCAGTGCTGTTTGTTAACAGTGGTGACGCTGGACCAGTGACTTCATCTACCTGAGCTTCTGTTACCTCATCTGTAAAATTAGGAGGTTGGACTGAATGGCCTCTTGGGTCCCTCTCACAGCTGAACTCTATGGTCTTATGGACTAGAGATCTTGCAAAAGGTGAATAGACTTATTCTATGTAACTCAAAGGGAAGAATGACTAGTAATGGATGGAAGTTTTAAGGAAGTAAATTTCACTCAATATAAGGAAGAATTCTCCAATTTTTTTTTTTAACCATGATACCTGGTAAAATAATGAGCTCAATTCTCAGCGATACAATGATCCAAGACAACCCTAAAGGACTTACAATGAAAAATGCCATCCATTCCCAGACAAAGAACCGATGGTGTCTGAATACAGATTGAAGCATTTTTTTTTCTACTTTATTTTTCTTGAGGTTTCTTTCTTTCTTTTTGGTCTATGTTTTCTTTCACAACATGATTAATATGGAAATATGTTTTGCATGACTACACGTGTATAACTTATATTGAATTTCTTGCCTTCTCAATGAGGGGGATGAGGAGAGAGGAAGGGAGAAAATTTGGAATTCAGAGTTTTAAAAATGAATGTAAAAAATTGTTTTTACATATAATTGCGAAAAATAAAATACTAAATAAATTTAAAAAAAATTTTTTAAAGTTAAAAAAAAGAAAAAAAAAAGAATGAGCTCATTGGAGCCAAAAAGGATTTAAGCAGAGCCAGGATGACTATTTGTAAAGGATTTTTGTAGAAGGGTTTCCAGCAATGGTTAGGAGATTGGACTAGATGACATCTATGGTTCCTTCCAACTCTGAGTCTATTAATCCTTAATTCCTAAGAATTATTTTTGCATTCGCCCAACATATTTATTCAAAATAGTAAGAAAGAGTTCTTAAATTGCAGAAGTCAGACCTGATGTTTAAGTGATTTTGGATATCAATATTTTGAGCAGTACCCAATCTCAGTTTCTTGGGTGAGAGGTTCTTGGGGTAAGAGTGCCCCTACTGGACAATTTGAATACTGTCTTTTGAAACTTTTTTTTTGTATCGAAGAAATAGGATAACTAGCTGCTGACCCCTGTTCTTCTGATCTTTGGTGATGAAAGTGTTGTCATTTCTAGAAAACTCCTTATTCCCCCTTCACTCATTCAAATATTTTACATAAATCTACTCATTCTACCAATTAAAGATGACTTTGGGCTAACAACCCACCTTTTAAAATGCAAATATATCTCGGAAAGTGAAGCTTAGCATTCACGAGTGTAAATTTCTTTAAAGAGATTTCATTTAATCAGTCAAAAAAAAATTCAGTGATAAGAACCCAGTGGATATCAATAAAGGTTGAAAAAAGAAAAAGACCTAGTCCATTTTCTAGTGGGGGAGACATAAATAGGTATATTCAAGGTATTTATCAAGCAGATGGGAGGTGATCTCAGAGGAGAAGGGACTATTATCCAGTGTGACTAGGAAAGTCCCGTGGCAGAAGATAGTATTTGAACTGAAACTTGAGGGAAGCCAGGGAACCTTAAGAGATGGAGGCGAGGAGAAGAGAACAGAGCATTCCAGGAGTAACAGACAACCAGTGCAAAGTTATGGAGATGAGAGAAGGCCAGTATGACTCAATCGTAGAGTGCATTGAGAGGAGTAAAGTCTAAAAAGACTGAAAAGGTAGGAAGGGCCCAGATTATGAGGGCTTTAAGTGCCAAACAGAGGACCTTACAGTTTATCTGAGAGGTAAGAGTCTCAGCAAGCTTATCAGTCTAATCACGCTACTTAGTACTGCCATCAAAAGACAATAGATCTGAAGGAGGATGAGAAATCTTTCCTCTTATGTAACATGGCACAGTGAATAAGGTGCTAGATCTGGAGTTGGGAGGATATGTATTCAAAGCCTGACACGTATGAACTGTGTGGCCATGGGAACGCCATTTGGTTTCTCCAGGTTTTTCTCATCTGTAAAATGGAGATAATAGGAGGCAGCTAGGTGGCACAGTGGATAGAGCATCAGCCTTGGAGTCAGGAGGACCCGAGTTCAAATCGGACCTCAGACACTTGACACTTACTAGCTGTGTGACCCTGGGCAAGTTATTAACCCCACTGCCTAGCCCCCCCAAAAAATGGAAATAATATTATCAGTACCTATTTCAATTCAATAAACATTAAGAGCCTACTATGTGCCAGGTACTGTACTAAGCACTAGGGATACAAAAAGAGGCAAAAGATCTTACAGAATTGTAGTGAGGCTAAAATGAGATTATGAAGAGAGTACATTCCAAACTGTGAAGTGCTACATAAATGTCAATTATTGTTACTTGCAAAGTTCCAGTTTTACAGAGAAAACCTGAAGTTTTCCTTGCAAAGGTTAGTGGACTGGGAACTAAGTATCTTCTCAATTTTTTTTTTTATCTTGCAAGGATTCATAGCTCTGTCCGTCCCCATGATACCCAGTCCTGAGACAATGAATATTTTTAAGAGTATATGAGAAAGAGGGGCAGTGAGGTGACACAGTGAATAGAGTACCAGCTCTGGAGTCAGGAGGACCCGAGTTCAAATCCAACCTCAGACACTTATTAGGTATATGACCCTGGGGAAGTCACTTAACCCCAATTGCCTCTTTAAAAAAAAAAAAAGAGTATATGAGGAAGAAGAGATTTATGACATTCTCTTGTCTAATCTCAGAAGAAATTTATATAAAGGTCTTTCATATACACCACTGTGTAAACAGTGTAGTTTACTGAGTTATAAGGATGAAATAAAAGTATTTTGTAAGCTTCAAAGCATTATATAAATGAGACCATGTGACATAAAGGATCAAGTGCTTGGCTTGATATCAAGAACTGGGTTCTTATCCTACCTATGTCACTAATTGGTGTGACCATGGGCACGTCACTGACCTTCTGTGAATAGACAGCTCCTTAGGATTCATTTACTAACACACAGATGAGTTTCAATCTGCATTGGAAGCGTTCTCATACTTAGAGCTTCCCCACATTGATGAGATCCAGTAATTTTGTTGGGATAACCAGCCATTTTCCATCTTCTTTCAGAAATAGGGAAAATGGGCCTGAAGAGTACGGCAAAGAAATTAGGCTGGCCATAGATATGTCTTCCTAATAGCACAGCTCCCAGGAAAGGCAGAATCCTCTCATTCTTTGTAGATGTTTTAAGAATAAAGTAAAAACCACCTATGTCTCCAACTTTCCTAGACGTAGGTGGGGCTTTCCAGGTCTTGAATTCTCGACTTCCTTAAAACAAAAAACAAAAAAACAAAACTTAACAGTACGCATCCTTACAGTTGATAGAACAGCAGTGCCATCTTCAGGTGGTTATCACCCAAAGCAAGTGGGAAGTCACTGTATTTCTAAGTGCTCATTTAGCATATTCAACTGTCTTTATGTTGGACGGCACCAACATCTAGAATGTAAGTTCTCTGAAGGCAAGGATATATCTGCTAAAAAATTTCTTGTTACAACTCTTATGCAGATTTATGCTGCCAAAATGTTTTGAAGATGGCAACGACAATAGAGCCAGTTTCCCTCTCTTTTTTCTTTTAAGCTACCGTTTTCATTCCCAGGCAAGAAAATGCCCAGAATTAGGGATGAAATAAGAAAATACAAGTTTATCTGGCTACATCTCAACTTGTCCACTTCTAGAACCATCAGATGCAGAATGCAGAAGATGCAGAATGAAATCAACTCTATCCCCTTGTACCCATTCTCATTTCTAATCATTTGATCCCATTTTAGATGTGGGAACAACAGAGGCTACTCAGCAGGTCATAGAACAGAATGCTTTGTGTTTTCAAAGAAAGGAAGGTTTCTCACTGACCTGCTCTGGGTGTTATGGCTCCCTCAACACTGGTAATCATAATGGATCCACTAAGTTTTTTTGGTTTTTTACCATTTAACCTACTATTTAGTCATTGGGTATACCATAGTGATTTGGTGTCATAATAAATGTTCTAAGGATGGACAGCATTATCAATTGTCTTCCATAGATCATAGCACCAACAGCATGAAAGGGAGCCTGCGTACTCAGTAAACTTTAATAGCTCAGCCTTATCTCTTAAAAATTAAAAGATTAAAAATGATTAGGCCATATTCCTGTTTCCAAGAAAGCATCATTTGGAATCAGTTGCACTTAGAGGTAGGCATACTAAAGATTCTTAATTCATCAAGTTTTCTAGGAACAAGAAAAATCAACATAATTCAAAATTCATATGATTCCTTCTAGGACAAGTTCTACTAGCAGCAAATTTTAGCTTAGAATGAATCGATGATGTCCTAAGCCAATAAAAGGGCCAACATAGCTAAGAGTTGCATCTAGGTCTCTTGTCAATCAATTAAATGTGGCATCCCCTAGAGCAGCGGTGTCAAAATCAAACAGAAAAGAGGGTGGGTACTTAACCATATATAGGAACTCCCTGCAATAAATTATTTAGAAAACCATCTATTAACATTATGTCTTACTGTATTTTCATTAATTTTGTTAAACCTCCCCCAATTACATTTTAAGTTGGTTCAGGCCATACTTCTGTGCTGTGAGTTTCAATTGGCCATGGGCTGCATACACCTCACCCTGGACTATACACTTTCTGAATCTTAAATATGTCCTCCCTTATTTGAAGTGTCAATAAATGAGAGGCTTTTAATAAGAAAATTCCAAAACATCACTTTATTTAGTGATGAAGAGGATGGGTAGAAAATAGCTCTTTTCTTTGCTGCTAGATAGTATACAAAGTCAGAGAGAAATTGCAGAACACTATAGTTTCAAAGGTACAGAATTTATATAATACAACCTATGTAGTACCTATGTACAAAGAACTCCCACTTTTTAAAATCAAAAGGAAGTTTTGGATAAAGCACAATGGAGTCAGTGACCCATTTATAAAGCAGAATCAAGTTCTCAAGTTTTTCTCACTAGCTACATTTCACAACCCTCATTAGTTTAATTCTTCAGAAAACTGAGATCAGGCTACAACAGCCCTTCCATGCACACATTTCAGGCATGTCAAGCATAATCTAGATGAGAGCTACTCCTTGGGTAAATTAAACTCACAAAACTTTTCACTTTCTCTTAACATTATTAATTTTCTGTTTAAGGTTTAGAAATGTACTTATCAAAGCTATGTGAAAAACCATTATCTTTGTTGTATACACAGCATTAAAAATTCAATCAAAGCAAGTGTCATTTCTCCATGGTGTTCTTAGCTACTAGTTTTTAAAAACCTGAAGAACACCAAAAACATTTCCCAAGTGCTTTGATGTGATAAAACAGGGACATGGCTCACAGAACCATGTGTATCAAAGACAAAGCAGCTGAATATCAATCTCTAACATGGCCACAACACAAAATGCTGTCCGGTCTTCGGCAGTGCTGGTCAGCGCATGCCCAGAATCTGTCTGCTCTTCAGCTGGTAGTTTTTTTCCAGCTCTGAGAGGGCTTGAGCACGCAGTTGAGCAGCATAGAGTCTCTTTTTCAAATCTCTGCTCTTCGACTTGCTAGTGGGATAATTCTCAGAGTTCTCATCGCCCAGGGCATTGTCTTTACTTTCCCCACCGAAGTGAACTTTCTTCTTGGTTAGAGATGAGGGAAAATCAAGTAGTTCTTAAGAAAAGAAGAAAATAGTTTTTGAGTTACGTAAAAAGAAATTCATACTTATTTGACTTTTTTCAACTTTATTCTCCCAAGTGACAGATGCCAGTCTGCCAGGTTTTGCAAGGGAAAATAAAAGACTTTCAATTCATAAAACTACAGAATAAATACTAGAATGCCAGAAAACACAAACTAAAGGAAAAGAGAGTCTTCTTTCCATTATCTGGCAGGTTTTTGGCATTGGATTTTAGGTTTATTTAGTCAAAACAAGTCTAATTCCTAAAATCAAGATAAACAAGCTTGGTTCATTGACCTATCTGAAAAAAAAAAAAAAGCTGTTATTTAATAAATCCATTGTGGAACAGGTACAAAAACAGAAAGGTATATTGACAAAGGAGAGAAAATTAGCTTGCCACATGAAAAACGAAGAATCATCATTACATCCGCCTGATTCCAGGAGGAATATTCCTTTTGTGTCTCTTCCCTCATTGTACTTAGTAGATGCTTACTAATTTTTTAATGAACTTGATTGTTTCCCCCATTATTACCAAAATGTTTTATTGTTAATTTAAGTGACAACAAACTTAACTTTATAGGAGACTTTGGCTTGGACATGGCAAGTAGTAATTTATTGAATGGAACTAATATGCATATCGATACAGAAGATACAGAGGTCTATCTTCAGAAGAACTAATATGCATATCGATACAGAAGATACAGAGGTCTATCTTCAAAAGAACATATTCATAAATATGTTAAAACCCAATTTTTTCAAGAGAAAGGAATAAAATAAAGACAAATAAACAGTGACTTCTCTTCATCTTTTGTTTAAACAGAGTTCTGTTTCTTCAATTTCTTTTAATTTTATCTATGCATCCCACAAACAGTAGGTGCTTAATTCTTGAATTATATTATTTAATATTCATAGAGGAAAAGTCACTAATTGGTAGAGATGTGATAAAGAGAGGAACTCTCTAAGTCATAAGATATTTTTCATCCTATATGTCATATCCTATTGGTACAATATAACAAAACCTTAATATGTTTGAAATTGCTACTTTGCCCCATGGATGGTGACTCAAAATGTCTATGTGCAGTATTTTTCCTCTCATATTTTGATTAAACAGATGTCTATATGGCCCATGAGATGCCTCAAACTATTCAGAAGTTTAGGCATTATATAACACAGGTGGTCAGACAAGGTGGAACATGCCCTAGCCAGCTTTCTTTTACAAAGTCCTCTGAGCTCATCTATGGTGGCCACATTGTTCAGTGCTCAGTTCAGGTTTTTTCTAAGAGGAGGACAGTGTTCCCACTGTGATACTGAAGTCATTTCATATAATTAACTCAATAATTTCATATAATTAACTCAATAATTTTTTTTTTTTGGTGAGGCAATCAGGGTTAAGTGACTTGCCCAGGGTCACACAGCTAGTAAGTGTCAAGTTTCTGCGGCCAGATTTGAACTCAGGTCCTCCTGACTCCAGGGCCAGAGCTCTATCCACTGCACCACCTAGCTGCCCCATTTTTTTCTGGAATGAATTTTCTAACACAAATAAAGGACTGAAGTTTTTTTTCCTTTTGATATTAGAAAACATATCTTAAAAGACAGGTAGGGCAGGGTCTGGGGAAATGAATAGTACCATCAGAAGGAAAAAGAACATGTAAACAAACATCCTTTGGCTCAGGAAGGGAACAAAAACTTTTCCTACAATGTTCTGAGAGACATCAAATTGTGCCTTGGTGTAGATTTGATGCATAAAATGCAAAGAATAACAAAATTTGTTAAAATGGACATTTTTATTAATTTAGGTAATGTGACCCTAATTAAATCTATCCTACACCAAATGTGTTTTGTAAAACTGGCTGCTAAAAATATAAGTTAGGAATTAATGTGAAAGTCAGAAAGCACTAAAAGACTGAAAGTAATGAAAAAAGCTGAATCATGATATGGGGAAAGTGCTGAAATTGGAATCAAGGTGACTTAGGTTTAATTCTACCTTTAACACTTATTAACTGTGACCCTACTTGAGTGACTTAACTTGAGGTTCAGTTTTCTCAGCTATAATATGGCAATAATACCTACAGCACTTACCTCACAAGTTAAATGAGACACTGGATGTAAAATTTTTTGCAAACCCTAAAGCACCATATGTAGCCAAATATTATGAGAAAAAAGGCCCTCAGAGTATATGACAAGTTAAATCCTTGGAAGATTCTAGTTTTGCTTTGAATTTTTGGGTTTTAGAGTCGTGGAATTTTAGAAAACACACAGACACCATCTAATCTAAATTCTATTTGATTCATGAATCTCCAATTGGAAAACACCATACCAGAAGCTGTTAGTACCTTCTTTGTGAGTTCAGTCTATAAATACTATGTCTTAAGGTGTTGAATTGGTCTAAAATTAGGTTTCTAAAGAATTAGAAAAGTATTTATTCATAACAGATTATCTTGAATAGTTCAGGGAAGAGAGACATAGTAAGAACAATTTTCCACTGCATTTTATTGGAAATTGTTTTTTAAAATCACAATATCAACGAAAATGACAAATGGTGGTTTCATAACCCGCTCCTCCCAGATATACACTGAGATAAGATAGTCAACAATTTATGTTCTCATTGAACTATGAAGGATCTCCCTGTGTCTTCAACAGATCATAAATCAAATTAGGAATAGGGCTTCTAAAGAAATGGAGGAACAAGTCAGAAGGTAGACACAATGATGCATATTATAATCACAAGTCTCATTAAAGCCAAAGGATATGGCAGGAAATGCACAAAGAAAAGTCAACAAAAAATAACATTTGATATACAGAAAAGACTAAAGGGGGGAAAAAAAAGAGGCAAATGATGCTCATGGTATATAATGTGTTCTTTCAGAAATATATTACATCTCAACCAGGAGTAGGCCTTAGAAAGGTCTGAAAAATGCTGGTCTACTATACCTAGTTAGTTACATAAACCTTTAAAGCAGAGGAAAAGTCAGACCTTCTATACAAAATTTAGGGTCTAATTTCCAGCAAGATTTATGCTGTCAGCATCATTATGTTCTAATTTATAAAAAGAAATTTAAACCTGCAAAGTTTTGAAAATTCATTTAAAAGGTAAATATCTTAGCGTTACAAGTATACATTTTCCATTTAACAAAATGAATGGGAAAAAAAAGCCCAGATCATTTAATTCGATACATAAAATTTAGGCCACTATATCCCACGAACACTCAGAAGATGGGGAAAGCCATTAAACCAAATTCTGCCATTAAAGAATCGTATTTCAATTACAAAATGTAGCTCAATAAAATTTTGAAAATTTATTCTGGAAGCTGGAACTGTGTATAGCACATGGACTATTAAAAGCATCTTCACAATAGCACCAGTTTGTGGTTACTGGGCATAATGGTTTCAGTTTAAATCTCATACCTGGGCTATTTGCCAATGCTAAGATCTTCTGTTCCTTTAACAGGTTGTAATTTTTCAACAAATTTTCAGCTCTGATAAGTTTGTCTTCTGCAAGTCTCTCTCGGACGCAAAGTTCACGTTCCTTCTCTTTAATTTAAAAAAAAAAAAAAGCCCAAAGGTTACCAAAGGTATATTGTACATTTTATGACTGTCAATCTTTCTGTCACCAGTGTTAGAGGAAGAGAACCAAGGGAAGTAGAAGAAAAAGAATAAACATTTATATAGCACCTGCTCTGTGTCAGGCACTAGGCTAAGTGCTTTATTATCCCATTTTTTATTATTTTTGTGGACACCAAATTATATATTACTTTATTATCCCAATAAATATTATCCCATTTAATCCTCACAACAACCCTACAAGGTAGGTGCTATTATTATCATCTCCATTTTCAGATGAGGAAATTGAGGCAAACAAAGGTTAATGACTTGGCCAGGGTCACAAAGCATTTTAAGTCCAGGTTTGAACTCAGGTCTCCCTGACTCAAAGCCTAACATTCTATCCTGTGTGACCTATCTAGCTACCACCCTCTTAAAAAAAAAAATTGCAGGGATATGCAACAATTTAGCCCGAAGCATCAAATCCAACTGTACAGAGCTCATTTCATGCCTTTTCATAATTTAGTAATTTTTCATAAAAGAAATCTATATCACTTCTTTGTTAAAATGTCTATACCTAGGACAGGTAGGTGGCCCAGTGGACAGAGCATCGGCTCCAGAACTTGAGTTGAAATACGGCCTCAGACCCTTGACACTTACTAGCTGTGTGACCCTGGGGAAGGCACTTAATCCCACCACACACACACACACACACACACACACACACACACACACACACACA